AGATGGTGAAGACGAAATATGAGGGAAAAGGAAAAGATGTAATTGCCATGGCAATGCCTATTGGAAATGAAGGTCCTCAGAGATGGTGCATTCATCAAGGTAGATATACATTTATTTATTTTCTAAAGTAGTAGCAACTAAATAAAGAAAATTTGATTTCGGTGATTTTTTCATTTAGTTTTGGGAAAGAATCTTTTGATAAAATCTAGGTAGGTATCTTGATAGAATGAGTAGAGATCTTTTGTTTGAAGTATTTTTCATTAACATATCATGTATTTCAAAAGTATCATACATTTGCATGATATGGAATTGATTTGCACATATCACAGTTATTACAAATATTGATTTTTATCTATGATGATCTTGGAGTGTTTAGTTATGTTGATTCGCTGGATGAATTTGATGCAGTCTGTGAGAATTGTGGTTTGCTTGTGCTGGACAACGTGATGTGCCTAGAGTAGGAGATTTGGTTTGCTACTCTCCCCAAGGCCACATTGAAGAGGTCTAAATTTTGTAGTTTTCTTAAAATTTTACTGAAATAAAATATATGGGAAACGTGACATTAAAATGGTTAATAATATGTTTTCATGGTCACCAAGAGGCTTAACGTGAGAACAATGTTAAGAATTGAAGAGGCGTATGTAACTCAAAAAGTGCAATGGGCGAGCCTCCAGTTTAAACTTAAATTTTAAGTTTAAACTTTAATGTGCACATTTACGTTTAAAATTTGGGGAAAATTCTAATTTAATGTAAATGTGCATTTTAAATGTAAATACCCTCCAAAATTCTTAGTTTAAACCCAAATTTTTATTCTTCTATGCCAATGTCTAAGAACTTATTATTTTTCTAAAATAAAAAGAATTAATGACCCGCATATTAGTAATAGACTTATCGTTTCCAAATATATGAGTCATTTGATATTTTCCAATTATAGACTCATCTTCCTAATTAGTTGTACGTACCGCTTCGTTGCTTCCCAAGATACCAAACATATTCTCTTCAGCCTTCACCAATCATCTCCAATTTCCCCCGGAGCCCTCCGCCAACTTGAGACTAGGTCTTCGCACATGCGGGTGTCTTCACGGTCATCTTCTCCGCTCCAGATCGATTTCATGCTTCTCTCTTGAGACAGAGCTGCCGATGCCGTGAAATTGAGCCATCAACGCCGCTGCACTTCTTCTCGTCACAACCGCTTGCGTTGTTCGACATTGTTGATGCCTTCTACTCCGTCGCCGCTACACCTCTCCTTGTCATTGTTGTCACTCTTCTTCTTCTCTCTTCTTCAGATAGACCTTGAATCGAAGGACAATAAATGGAGACCAGCAAGCGGCCAGATCTGGCGGAGGACGGCGGCTAGGGTTCATTAGTGGTGGTCAGGGTTGGGTTGGACTGCCAAAGGTGGGGCTGGGAGGGGTGATTGGGGTTGGGAGTGGTGGATTGGTGTGCGGCAGCGATTGGGGTGGCTGGAGATGGCGGATATGACGGAGTTGGTGGCTGGGGGTTGGGGTTCTGGGGAGTCATGTCAGGGTGGGACAGTGGTGTTGGTCACTGGGCTGTGGCGGAGGTCGGCCAGAGTGGTGGCCGCGACTGTGACGGGGATGGGCAGTGAAGAGGCCGTCGATGTGGGGGCATTAGACATCGGTGTCGGGCAGTGGGCTTGATGGTGGTTACTTGTTTGGGGTGTGGGGTGGCGGCTGGGTGGCGGCCAGTGGTGTGGGATGGTCACTATTCAGTCGTAGAGGTTATTATCGAATTTGGATCCTCTCCTAGAGAGTTCTAGTGGGAGAGAGATAGAGAGGAAGGGATTTTAGGTGTGGTTTATGGATGAGTAAGATAGAGAAACAGGTAGAGAGAGATAGGAAGAAAAAAGAAATGGATGGGAAATGGAGAGGAGATAGACTCGTCACTATCTTGCCGGAAAAAGTCGTCAGGAAGTTATCTGGCGATGACGGTGACACGGTTTACAACCATAGTGACATCTGATAGTGACATTAAAATGGTAATGACATTCAAAAAGTGACATAAAAATCTGGTAATAACATATTATAGTGACACGAAAATTTTACAGTGACATAAAAATTTGGCAGTGACATCGTGCTTTACCAGATATATGACCTTGTTAGTCACTTTTTGTCCTTTTAGAAAAGCGGTCACATCTTTGGAAACTGACTTTAAATTGGGGGAAAAGAGGCAAATAAGCCCACGTACGAACAAAAAAAAGTCAAATAAGCCCTTATTTAGGAGGCTCTGTCCGGCTGTTACCATTTGGGGTGGTTCCCGGTGGAATTTTTTTATGGAACTTTTTTAGCATCTTATTCATTAAGTCTAGTATATTTATACCAAATTTCAGCTAAAACTTCAATCGGGAATGCATTCGAATGAATTCTTGAAGATAACTGTGAAATTAAAAGCGCAGTTATATATATAGGTAAGAACACGATCTTATGAGAGAAATGAGAACGAATCTGGACCGTTAGATTTGCTTCAAGTGAAATTCAGTGTGCATTAGATGAAACTGTAATGTGCATTAGATGAAATTGAAATGTGCATAACAAAGGGTACAATAGAGTGGCATTATGTGCAGTTGATTTGTGCATTAAGTGGAATTGAAGGCATCTAGATTCCTTCTTCCGTGGCTGGCTTCCTTTAGGTTATACCGTTTCCCCTTCAGGTTGTGCTAGACTACAATTCCAAGGGATTAGTAGTACTTAGGATATGGAGCAAATGTTCCCTGATCCAATTTCTGCAAGTATAGAGTTTTTTCATTCCAGGAAGTGCTTGATTACAGGGGTGGGATCGGTCCAGTCTGGGTCGGGTTTTTGCTAAACCTGGAAATTACCCGGAAGGTCTCGGGTTATGAAAATTAGGGACCGGAACAAAGCCCATTATATTCGGTCCGAGTCGGGTTTTTGGTAGCCCGAGTTCAGTCCGGGTTCGGGTTGGACCGGTTAAAGCCCGAACGTTAAATATGTCATTGTTCTTTTATATTTTAACACTTATTTTCAAATAAAATTAATGAAAAATACAAACCGCAAATAATAACACAAATATTAGTCTCCAAAATCACCAACAATTCAAATTTAAAGAAGATAATTATCTTAGTATTTTATGTAAGATGTATATATATGAATAATATAGGTTTCTTAAAAATATTACCAAATAAATTTTATAAATCAAAAAGTTACTAGAGTTGCTATAAATATATTCTCATGGTCATCATTACGCTAAACAAATTCAACATATTTGTAGTCACTAAAAGTTATTAAATTTTTTTATCCACCGTGATTATAATCATATATTAGGAAATATTTTATTTTTATTCATATACTATATTAATTTTATATTAAAACTAATTGTTTCGGGTTTTTCGGTCCGGACCGGGTTATATATTTTAAGGCCCCTTAATGAGCCCGGAATTTTCGGTTCGGTCCGGGTTTTTTTAATTCGGGCCGGTTAAAAAGAAAAAAACCCGGACCGGGATCATAATTCGGGTCGGTCCAGAGTCGGTTTCCGGGTTTGGGTTCGGTTTTTCCCACCCCTACTTGATTGGCGGTTTCTCACCTGCGGAGATTCTCCTCTTGTTTCCTTTGTCAACTGCACTTAGTCAACAGTTTTCCGTCAATGAACTCCACAGGAGGCCAAATGCGAATTCGTTATTTTATTAAGCGTGAGAAGCAGCAATCTGTTACGAAGTATTATGTTTGTTTTGGCTCCACTTTTATCCTCCTACAATACATTATTGCTACTGCTTTCCTAATACAACAGTCATCTGGGATCTTTTGAATTTCATAATTTAAGCAATAAAGTTCTGCAAAAGAATCAATCATGTCATTTAATATAAAAAAGTGTTAGAGGTGTTGTGTAGCTTCCTAGAAACGTTTTTTTTACTCCAGGGGGTCTGGGGTAGGGGTTGGGGGAGCAGTAATCAGGGCTGAAACTCATATTACACCCTTGTGTGCCTAGCGGGATTCGAACTCGAGACCTCTCACTAGGCACGGTAACCTCAAAATAAGCTGGGCTGGAATGCTTGGTTAGTTTCTTAGAAACGTAAACGGCTAGGATCGGAGTATCTGATTTACTCAGCTGAAGATCTTGCATAACAACGTTTAGCATAAATGAGAAGAGCTCATTTTCTTGTTTGAGAAGTCACTGTAAACCATGAATTGAGCTGACAAGCAATCCTGTTTGTTTGGACTGCAATATGTTTACGCTAGGCTGTGGGTGATATGAAGATGTTTGACAGTCCTTGCATCACTTTGCTTTCGCGACCTTGTGTTCCCAGTGACTGCTTTGATGCGGCAATCATGTTTGTGAAGCTCCTCCATCAAAATCCTGCTGGTTTTATGTGGAAGTTAATACAAAATTAACAGTGGATTTTCATAAACCAGCAAGACCAGTAGTTACACACAACTATTGTCTTCTTCGGGCATCTATTGAGAAAGAAATACACACATTTTTGTGTGTGTGTCCTCTATATCCAATAAATTGTGTTGTGTGCTGGTTAATTAAAAATGGATAGGTACCATATAGTTAATGAAGTCGGTAATGGTACTTTTGGAAGTGTCTGGCGAGCACTAAATCTTCAGACTGGTGAAATGGTAGCAATCAAAAAGATGAAGAAAGAGTGTTACTTGTGAGAATTTGGGAAAAGGGTCCTCCAATAGGAGTCTAATACAGATTAGGAAACAAATCTGTCTAATAATATTCTATTACACCCCTCAAACTGTGCGGGAGATACAACGCGCAGGTTGTCTTTCAAATAATAAAATTGCTGACTAGAAAGAGATTTGGTAAAAATGTCAGCTAATTGCAACTGTGTGGGAATGTATTTCACAAGTAAATCTCCATAAGCCACACGCTCTCGAACAAAATGGTAGTCTATCTGAATGTGCTTGCTACGAGCATGCATAAAAGAGTCCTCCAATAGGAGTCCTGACATGTATATTTATATTAAAAGAGTCTAATACAGACTAGGAAACAAATCTGTCTAATAATATTCTATTATTATTCATGGGAAGAATGTATAAATTAAAGAGAAGTTAAGTCTTTGAGGAAAATGAACCACCCGAATATAGTGAAGCTAAAGGAAGTGATCAGGGAAAATGACAACTTGTTCTTTGTGTTTAAATACATGGAGCGCAATCTATATGAGCTAACAAAAGAGAGAGGAAAGCTTTTTTCAGAAACAGAAGTCAGAAACTGGTGCTTCCAAGTATTTCAAGGTCTTGCATACATGCATCAGCGGGGATATTTTCATCGTGACCTCAAGCCAGAGAACTTGTTGGTTTCAAAGGATATCATTAAAATAGCTGATTTCGGTCTTGCTCGTGAGATCAATTCTGAACCACCATATACTGAATATGTTTCCACACGCTGGTATCGGGCTCCCGAACTTCTTCTCCAGTCTCCAAGTTGGGGATCTACTGTTGATATGTGGGCAATAATGGCTGAAATGTTTACTCTTCGCCCTCTATTCCCTGGCATGAATGAAGCAGACGAAGTCTACAAAATATGCAGTGTAATAGGAACCCCAACAAAGATGGAATGGGAAGATGGTCTCAAACTTGCAAATGGCATGGGCTATGACTTCCCAAAGATTGTAGGTGTACATCTTTCTGTGCTAGCTAATACCTTCTGCTGGTGAAGAAGCGATTAATCTTATTGGATCACTTTGTTCATGGGATCCCTGCAAGAGGCCTTCAGCTTTAGAAGCACTCCAGCATCCTTTCTTCTATATTCCACTATCTCTACGCTCTAAACAGTGCCGATACTACCTGAACTCGGGCCTGAGTCGATCTTCATAAATGGGCCCTACACATAGTGTTTCTTTGTCATATAGATTCATTAAGATTTAATGATTAAATATCACAAAAACGCGATTCTTAAATTAAATTCTTACATTATAGCAAAATGACATTGGATATATTAAATAACTAATTAAGTACGTCGAACATTTTTAGATGCAAAAGTATTAATCAAACCTGCATAATATATATTATCAATGAATTCCTTCTCAATTAATAACATAGCTAATTCATTCAACCTTTTTGAAACATGGCTGAAGATGTACTCTCCGAAGTGACTCTTTTATTCGAAATCAAGTACTATGTACTTATTAATGTCTTCGGCCTGACTTAGAATTAATGATTCAATACATGATATATTTCCCTCTTTAGAAATCGAAACAAAGATTTGGAAGACATGACACTATAAAAAAATACACAATTTAGTGGAATTCTTAACAATATACATTAGTAATTTTCTCTATAAAATTAATTGTGAATTGAGAATTTGTGTGTGTTGCTTTCATACAGTCATACTTTTCACCGGATACACTTTGCGTTTCTTGCTATATTTCTTACTTTCTTTTATACATTCCTATTTTCTTTTTTCCTTTCTCTAGATACTCATTTTTCAATCGAAAGCTTTCTGTTTCATTTGTGCAAGTAAAAAGAGATGGAGATGATGTGATACAATTGAAAAGGGAAATATATATTCACATAGCCAAGCCGATTGAAAAGGGAAATATATATTCGCATAGATGGTAAAATAATCAAGGTATATATTTATTTAATAACTTTGAAAATTTGTAGCAACTCTGTAAGGAATAGTTGATGTCGCTTATTATTTTTCAATTAGTTTTGAGGGAGAATTTTATGGTAGACTCTAGATAGATCTCATGTGAACATTCCTCATCTCTTGATACTATCTTCATACATCCAATGGTTACTTTTATAATGTGGCTTTTGATAAAATGTTTGAATATTATCAATATATTAAAGGATTTAGCAATTTTTCACTAATAAAATCATTTAATTAGTTAAGTTCCACTCAAAGAGGATAAAGTTCCTCATCTAGAGAAAAAATGTCATCCTCTTGCTTTATTACTAGAGATAGTTCATAATATTCTTCAAGTGGTCACCCCATGGGTACATAATATTCTCAGGTGTGTGCATACATAATACCCGTCCGGAATGCTCAATTCACACCCTGAACTCTAAAAAACTCCAATTCACCCCCTGAATCGACAAAAAAGTTCAAATCTCATTTTTTGGAGGTAAACGCCCAGTCGCCGCCACGTCACCCAGTCAGATGTCAACCGTGCATCCCACGTGGCAATTTAAGGGGTCCAATAGGCCCCTGAACCTGACAAAGTCGTTCAGTTTGCCCCCTCAACCGTTAAAAAGTGTAAGAATTGCAAAAAACAATTGAAAAAAATAGAAAATTGCAAATATAAAATAAAATACAAGTCGAAAGTATAAAATATAGACATCCTATTAAATAATATAATAAGGATTTATTTATATTCATGGTAAAAGCATATAAAATAAACCAAAAAAAATTAACTATTTTGATATTTTAAATCTATTTTTTTGCAAATTAAAATTAAATATGTTTTTGTGTTTTATATGTAATAATTGGTAATATAAAACACATTTTATGTTTTCTATTAAAATTCATTATATGTATATTATGTTTATATTTTAGAGTTGTATTTTTCATTTGATATTTTTTAATATTCTTAATATGTTTTAGATTTATATGTAAAATTACACACACCCACTCACACATGCATATATGTATATATACTTTGTATTATTTTATTCTAGATTGTTTTAACCCCAGGGGAGTCGGGGGAGGGGGGTTTGGGGGGCCTGGGTAAACTTGGATCAACCTCACTCCATTGAGAAATGAACTTGGGACCTTCTATAAGGGAGAGTGAGTCGGCGACCGCTTATTCTAGAATTATATACTATACTTCATACCAATTATATATACCATAAAAAAATATACCATATAAAAAGTATAATACGAAAATAGCTACTCATATCACATTTTTATACTCCGTATTATGTATTTAAAAATAATTTATTTTTGTTATACTTTTTACATATTCAATTTACCAAAAAAATATAAATAGTTTCTTATTATTTTATAAATAGACATCTATATTTTATATTATGAACTTGTATATTATTTTATATTTATATCTTTTATTTTTTATTTTAATATTTTTTAATAGCAATTTTGGCACTTTTTAATGGTTGAGGGGGTAAACTGAACAACTCTGTCGGGTTAAAGGGCCTATTTGACCTCTTAAATTGCCACGCGGGATGCACGGTTGGCATCAGACATGGTGACGGGTGGTGACCGGACGTTTACTTACAAAAAATGAGATTTGAACCTTTTTGTTGAGTTCAAGGGGTGAATTCGAGCTTTTTAGGGTTCAGGGTGCGAATTAAGCATTCTGGACGAGTATAGGGGCCTATTTGACCCTTTAGCCTTAGTAAAATAGTAGCTTTCTACATATGTGTTGGTAACGTTAAAGGTACATATATATCTCTTTGAATACAAAAACAAAAAAGCAAAATAAAATGTTTAATAAATCTAGGCACATAGACGGCCGATTAAGTGCTTTGAGCGGGCAACTAGGCGCCCTAGGTGGTCGACTAATTCACTTAGACGCCAAATCAATTAGTCGGTGCGCCTTGACTAAAATCGGGACGCCTGACCACCGTCTAGCGCCTAGGCGGGGACTAGTCGAGCGCTTAGAGCGATTTTTAGAACAGTAGTATTATCCTCACAAACCAACATGAGTCTTTTATGGCACACTTTGTTCTCAGTAGTGTGTGCTCTAAGAAATTTTCCACGAGGCCACTCATCCCATGACTACTTAGTGCTAGCATGCTTAACTTGGAGTTCTTAACAAATGAGTTCCCTTAAAAGGAGACACATTTTGTAGGTATGAGTAGTAATATTAATCATTTTAAGTTAATATCAAGTACGTAGTATTATATACAGGGCCGTGCTTTCTTTGAGGCTGCTGAGGCATGGGCCTCAGGGCCCCAAAAATGGTAAAAATTTAGGGGCCCAAAATTTTTAATATCTTCCCATTATATGTGTGTGTATTTAAATTATAAAAGACCTGTTTTGTTTTTAATTATGTCATCAAAACGGAAGAAGGACAATTTGTCGCTAGGGCAATCAACCAACGGAGAACAAAAAGCTAACTTTATCCTTTTTATGCTTAGCTTTTAATCTTTTAATTTTTTATGTTTCAATGTTCAAATTTTCACGAACAGCTTTTGAAATTGCATGTAAATTAAAGCCCGAAAGTTTATGGGCCCAATTAGAATTTGTTTTGCACAATGAAAAGCTCTTTTTTCTTATCTTAATCGGAGATAAATTAAAAATTGTTCCAAGGGTTGATTTGAGATGTCATTGATTGATTAAGATGCAGAATTAAACAATTCCAGCTTTTTTAATCTAAATCTATGTTCAGAAAATTAAGTTTAAGCTTAATTTGGGATGTTTAAACGATTAAAGATGTAGAATTAAACAATTTCAGTTTTTATATTTAAGATTTGTAAATCTTAAATATGCTATGATGTCTAATTTACTAACAAAATTGTACTCCGTATTATTTAGCACATTTAGTTAACTAATATTATCACATATGGATAGTATATGATTTCGATAAATTATATTTTTATTTACCTGTGGAGGTACGTGAGAAGGAATTTCAATATAGATTGAATGAATTAACCATTTTATTAGTGTAGAAGGAATTTATTAGACAACATGATTATGCCGACTTAATTAACTAATACATTTGCGGCTAATATTGTCTGATAGGTCATAGGTTGTACTTATTTTGTTTTTTTTAATACTTTTGGTATTCTTATATTATATAATGTATGCATTTTATTAAAATAGTTATTTTGTGATGTTTAATCTTTAACTTCAAAACAGATTATACTACATAACATTATTGCAATTTATAGGGGCCTTTTTATGAAGTTTCGACTCAGGCTCGTGTTTAGGTAGGATCGGCACTGATTATATAAAGCCTTATTCAATATGAAACGGTGCACATGATTTGAATAATTATAAAATAAACACAACACATATTCATTGTTGGCATCAATGAGTGTTGAGTGCATCGTAAGGAAACGTCTGTGTAACATATCATAAACGTTGCTTTCTTCTTTTCCCCAGTACAAAGTCTTCTGGCAATATAATGAAGACATTGTGTATAGAACATGATGTTTAACGCATTCTTATTAAAGAATTAGGAAAATGAGAAGAATTGGAGTATTAAGAGAATAAGATGTATTTAGATTTTGTAGAGTTGATGTAAGTAAATGGAGAAAATGAGAGGTATTTATAGTTTTTTTTAAACCTCATGCCCCCTCCAACAGACCTATGAAGCGTTGGAAGAAGCTCCAACATTACCCCCAAACGGATCTATTAGAAGAGCCAATAGGAAAAAAGCAAAAAATAAATTGGTTGTTGGGGACCGGGGTTGGACCAGGACTAGCCAGTTCCGGTCCTCATTATTTAAACTCGGAACTGGCGTCAGTGGGGCACGGGTCCGGCACCACTGTTCTGGCAAAACAGTTTTTAAGGTTCCGGTCTGATCTCGTGAACCGGTTCTGGTCCGTACCGGCCTTGCACCATGGATCGAGTCCACCTCTATTTGTAACCCAACTTCAGATCCTCTATTTATGAAAAATTCTGGTTTTAATAGAGAATATGAGTAAGGTTTGCCAATTGTATGTGTTAAGATTTGGTGTTCTATCCTAAAATATCAGCATGATAGGAGGAATAGCTCAAAATCTTATATAGCATTTTATTATTTCATACCATTTAGGCGTGGGACATTACTTTAACACGCCTCTCTAGCCCAAACCGAGATGAACAACATATGTGTATATAAATGGGTCAAAC